GTCATCACACATAGATCACGATACCTCGTTTAAAGATAAGAAATCGGTATCAGCAATTATTATTCAACCAAGGCTGGACGAAGAATATACGTGTCTCGCAATGAATAAAAAATCCTGTAAACAAACAATGTAGGGGGACAATTTACTATTTCTAATGGCAAATCAATTTCATCCGCAAACGAGGGTAAATCGCGCACGATGGGCTTTCGAAATTCTCGTTAACTTTGAGAAATCGACGGCGAAGGTGTCGACGAACGTCTGGACGCGTCGCGCTGCTAATCGACCCGGTGAAATTCAAATCATGCCGCCGTGATTTATCAGTTTCCCATAGTACGGTCGCAAGGTTGACGTTAACAGTCGGATCCATTTATTCCAGGAGCAGAACGAGCGCGGCGGTTCCCTGAATTCTAATTGCGCCCGCCGGTGGTTCGCGATTATATAAAATCGTCGTGGCCCCTTATCAGCCCTATCTGACGTCATTCCCAGAAGATGCGACTTCCTCCATCGGAGCCGGACCTTTCTCTCCGTGACTGTTCCCACAAACGGCCACGTTCGCGGCTACTTTGTCGTGATGCATTCGTGCCGCGACTTCTAAAGCGGGGCCCTCCACGGAAATCAGCCCCACGCCTGGTCGCGAACGTCCTTTAAGGATTCAGCGCGCATTGCGTAACTCCTGGAACGTGGCTCAGTTTCTCTCCGGCGGCGTTCCATCCTCGGAACTCTTCCCAGCCTTTTTTTTACTGATATTTCTCTTCTTGCGAATTATGAATAATTCAAAGTAATACGTCAGGGGTTCGTCGTGTCGCGGGTGCGAGCAGCGCGTTCGATTCGAAAACGCGAATTCAAGGACCCGTGGCGTTTCGAGGGATCGACCTTCGAGTGACCTTGAAACGGAAAAGTTGACATACACACGGAGAAAAAATCGAAAGTATACTGTCGAATAGTAGGCGAATACGTTATTGCGTCTCTTCGGTTTCCACGACTGTTTTGAAAACTGGATCTGACATCGTGACTGTTTTCAACGTTTGCTTGCGAAGGGTGGGGGTGGGTGTCGTGAATTGAAGTACACAGTGATTCTTTTAATATATCATTATTGATCGTTCGCTGTCGTTCGCGTGACATCGTTATATTGACAATTCAATCTATATACACGTTGACGATAATGATAATAATAATAATAAAATAGTAATAATAATAATAAAAATAGTAATAATAATCGCAAGATTCGTAAATCGTAATCATTGTACATTTCCGCTACAAATATACAGATCCGCAACGTGTGTGTATGCGCGTCTATAATATATATATATATATATATATATATATATTCATATTTATATTCATATTTATATATTTATACCTTTATATATATATAACAATACGTCGTCTTCCGCATTATTTCTTTTTTTTTCTTTTTTATACACTTGGGACAGAGAATCACGGACGCGCCTAGGAATCTTTACACATCGTATAATTATACGTACGAATACGTTTCTCTTTTCTTCGTAAACGTATCGCGATATATCACACTAAATAAAAAAAATATATATATATGTATAGATATATATATATATATCTTTCGTTTGATACAGAATATCTCGGCAGTTAGCATAATCGAAATGAAAAAATAAATAAGGCAACGTTTCCCACGGAGAAAGGAACGAGAAGAAAATTCTACAAGGATAGGAGAGTGGGAGGTTAGAGCGAGTGGAGGGGGGAGAGCACAGAGCGGTGGGGGCAAAGGAGGGGCGGTGATCGTCACGTGTTCACGTGACAACGGATCGAGAAATGAAATCGAAACGAAATGAAATTGAGTTGAGAGAAGTATAAGTACAAAAAATGACAACAGCTTTATTACACATTGTATTCCATATAATATAATCGTTTATACGTACGTGCATCACATTAATTATGGGTCAACGAGGCCACTCAGCGTCGCACGATAGAATCGATCTCGGCTCGAGTCGATCGATCCCGTTTCGCGTTGCTTGACGGTGCGCGCGCAGGCGGCGCCGCGCCACGCTTCGTTTTCGTGTTTTCCTTCACTTTTATATTCGTTAAATATAATTTCGACAAACGCTCCGCGCCCCCCGTTTCTCTTTTCTTCTCCCGTTCGTTTATTTTCGTTTATTTATTCGTTCATCCATTTGCTTATGCCTCACTTCGTTACGATTTTCCGTTTGCCCTCGAGAGGGAGACCCGAAAAAAAAAAGAAAGAAAGAATCGCAACCCAACTTCGAGTTTGTTGGTAGTCGTTTCGTTTATTTAATTATCATTATTTATTAACAGGAACATCATCGAATCTTTGTTCGTTACATCGTCATCGTACGCCTTTCTACAATTATAATAATCGTGTGATCGTGTATCGCTATCGGCATCGAAATTTTCTTTTTTCTCTTTTCTTTTTTTTTCTTCAATCGCCCGATCAACGTTAACCGATCGATCGGACGACTAGCGCCGCGGTGTCAAATCGTCATTCAATCGTCATCGTCAAGCGCAGCATCGTTCATCGTCGTTTGTTCGGCATTATCATCCACATATATAAATAAATAATTATCATCAACCGTGCGATAACAACACATAATCGTCATTTGTTCGCGATTTCGCGGTCGAAGCGGGCGAGAATATATTTAGAACACGAAAAAAGAATTTTGTTCGTTCAAACGATCTATCAATTCAGTTAACATTCAGTTTATACAAACGGAAGGAAATGTTACGGCGTTACGAAATTTGGATCGATCGAAACATTCAGTTTCGTAGGAAAATTTCGCCGCGAGTTTAGCCAGGATTAATCGAAAATTACGCGTAAGTAAAATTTGTTTAATTAACTAAGGTGTCTCGCAGACTTCGACTTCGAAAACATGGAAATAAACCGTCTCGTCGTCGGAACGCCGTTGACGACGACCCCGGTTTCTCATTTACATATATATATATATATATATATTTATATATATACTTTATATATATATATATTTTTCTATCTATATATTTATATATCCATTTATTTATTTATTTATCCGTTTATACATATCGCGAGTAACGGTTCACCGAATCGAGCGCCGTGTTACGGAAAGACTCCGAAACGTTGGGAAAAGGAAAGCCCTTCAGCGTACAACTCGAAATGTTCCTAAAAAATTAACCGGTTACAATTCACCTCCTATTAATGCCCGATAGAACAGTGTTTACGGCAAACGGTTCCCTAAAAGTGTTAAAAAGAAATTCGACTTTCCCTTTTCCCCGTTTCGTGACACTTTTTACAAGGAAAAAAAAGAAACGAATACTCGGTCGCAGGTTCGCTCGTTGGATCGCACACAGTGAATTTTGATTCTGGTTCTTGTTTTATTGTTGAAAGATCGTAAAGCGACCAAAAAAATACTAATGCTCGTACAAATTCTATCGTGTCTGTATCTATTAGATCGGGGCATAGTCTACACTTTTTTTGTCGGTCATGTTTCAATCACACGGTTTTGTTTACAGTTTTTCTCTACTCAACGAGTGGTGGACCTTATTTAGGTTCGATGTTCGTTAGGAAGACGCCGTCGATGGTCGAGGCTGGAATGGCTTTCACCGTCTTCCAGATCCCGGACAAAACAACTTTTCTCTGTACCGAGCGAACGAATTAACTTTTCTAATATTACAATTTACGAATTTTTATTAGGTTACGAATAGAAATACTGTACAAAATTTTACGTTAGAAAACGCGTAAACGAACCCGAAGCAGGAAATTCAAGCAAAAATGGAGAAGTTTCGACTGCGACGAAATTCAAAGTACGAGTACCAGAAAAGATTTTAGGTTACGTGAACGCGATTTATTCGCGAACTGTCGAGGAAAAAAAAATTTTGAAACTGACGAAAGCTGTTATACCTTTAAATTCTCGATCTCGGTACAAGACGGCCGCTATGCGAGAAGCGGTTACATTTCGTTACGAAAAGTCCCAGCGCAACGGGTTTGCCATGAAAATGGGAAATCCCGGAGCGCTGGGAGGTCCTTTGAATAGCTCGATTCGAACTTTCGGCGACGTTACTCTGTAGTTTTTGTCTCGAGACACGCGACCCGGAAGCCATTCTCTCGGAAGTTTCGTGTCCGCCCGACATCGTCCCTGTGGCCGGTGAGGGTGTATACGGTGTAAAAAGAAAAGATCTTGTTCGTGCGTCAAAAAAAAAAAAAAAAAAAAAAAGACAAAAAAAACAGCGTTACCCGAACGGCGAACCAAAAAAAAAACGTAATAAAAAGAAGAGAAAAAAAATCTCACGAAGGGGGGAGGGAGGGGGCGACATCGTTCGAATCTTAATTCGTCGTAAACTTTCTCGCTCGTAACTATTATACGCACGGTACATACAAACGCTCTCCTCTGATTGTTGCTCGGTACTCTCTCGTGGACTTGCTCTCGCGAGGGGTGGGGGCGGGGGGAGTGGTGCGCGCGCGCGCGCGCACACACACACATATATTCTCAGACGTATACGTACACATAGATATAGATATATATATATATATATATATACACACGGTAATGGAGGAAGGGGAGTCTCGACACTCACGCACGCACTAACAACACAACCACGCTAACCATCGCGCGAGTAGATATCCTCGAAACGGTTCTCTCTAAAGAGTCGAGGATGTGGGAATGGGTGGAGAAGAAACAAGAGAGAGAGAGAGAGAGAGAGAGAGAGAAAAATAGCCAAGATGGAAAACTATTCCGAAACAATGATACTTGGGAGCTACGATAGAATAATATTAATAATAATTATTATAATAATATAATAATAATAATAATAATAATAATAATAATAGCGAATAGTAATAATAGTAAATAACAATAATAATAAATTAGTTCTGTACAAAGTTTTCGCTTCGAGCATGATATAATATTAATACCTAAGAACGGGTCGGACGACGATATCCGCGCCGCCGTCCGCCACCACAGCATCTCGTATTTATGATATAATATATATATATATATATATATATGTATATATATATCTACACGTAATATACACGCGGACGCGTATATTCCGCATAAATATATTCTTTTATCTCGTTCCTCCCGTCGAGTTGGTCGCTAAAAAAACGAAAAAAAAAAAAAGAGAAGAAGAAGAAGTGAAAATAGTTTCTTCCGCGGGACATAGGTTCCCCCGAGGATCGTCCAGCGGAACGCGCGCGTCAACTTCCTCCTCCCCCGTGCTGGCAAAGTCCGAGCGGAACGTTCTCACGCGCAACGAAGGGGAGGGAAACAAAGGAATCGCGAAGAAACGCGGTTGCTCGCTCGGTAGCGCGTCGCGCGTACAAAGATCGCTGACGTTGGTTTGTTCACGTGCGTCGGCTCGATCGGCGCCACTTGTTCGATACCGCCAATCGTCGCGACAATAACACGGAGAGGGAGTCCGGGACTCGGCGCGCTATTCGCCGACAGATTTCTTTGTAATTCGGATCGAGTGTCTTCGTTGCGAAATGTTTCTCTACAAACAGTGACGAAAGCATCAAAGAAACTCTCGTCGGAGCTCGCGATCAAGTTCCCATCGGCACAGGAACCGTGCCCGAGGAGACACACGCTGCCGAACTGTACCCGGATCATCTCCGGTCTTCGCTGTAAAATCTAGGCTCTGAATTCGCGGCGGACACCGCGATGCATCAGCGCCGGATTAAGGATGGGCGGGTGCGCCTGAGAGGCCGCCAGAGATCGTCGCTTGGGACGGCAGTCTATATGAGTTGGGCCGCAGCGACTCACACGCTAGGCGGATTAGCGGAGGTTCGCTGATCGGAGAGGACAGTCGATCGAGACAAACCCCCGCTAATAAACCTCCAGGGTGTACGGATCGAATCGATTTGACTCGTGACTACTAGAGGCCTCTCGAGTACTTGTAGCCCTGATTTCAACACGGTCTTAATCCGGCGCTAACGTCGCCATACATGTTCCATACAGCGTCAATGATCTTTGCATACGGAGAACTCGCGCGACGATGATCCACGAAGACCAACGAAAGGGGATCAGTTCAGACACAGAGCTCTCGTCGCGAGGGAGAAACGCACAGAGTCCATTGGTCGATTGGCTCACAAATGAAGGGGGGCGGGGGATACGAAACTACACTTCCGTCGCAAGCGTCGCCGCCAACGACGAGTCGTGCCTGTAGTGATCGTCTATGACGTAGACCCCGCAGCCAGTGTCCGTGGCTCCTCCGCTTCCCGGTGGCCCTCCGCCACCCTCCGCGATAGTGGTCGGCGGCCTCTTGAGGAGCGCCGCCTCCGCTGCGCAACAGCTGTCCGTCGTCGCGTTTCCCGCGAACACGGATGACCTTTTCGCGCTCTCCATAACGCCTATGCCCAGACCCAAGCCCAGGCAGTCCTTCTCCTTCTGGAAGAGGTGGGACGCCCTGTGGGCAGCCGCCTCGGTGTTCAGCTGCTTGGTTGTCCGCGTTCGTCCATCCTGCAGCACTGGTTCTGGTTTGTAACCCGAGCAAGTGCTGTCCAGCGTGACGTCGGTTTGAAACGAGGAGTCGAGGTCGTCCTGTCTGGCGGACGCGGCGTTGTTCACGCTCTTGTTCGCCGTCCATGTGTTCTTGATCATGTGCGCATCCCCTGTGCCCAGGTTGCACACGCTCCCGCCGCCGCTGCCGCTGATCATTCCACTGCCCCCGCCGCCCAACAGTCCCACGTTTCCGATTCCAACGCCACTGACACCCGTCGAGCCAACCCCCGTGCCACCGCCTACTCCGCCCATCACGCCACCGCTCCTCTTGCTCATGCTGCTGTGAACGGCGTTGCGTTCATTTTGGAGCCTGGCCTCTTCGTCGGCCTTCGCCTGTTCCCGCTTCTGCCGCCTCTTCATGCACATCACGGCCACCGCGGCAACCAGGACGAACGCTGGCACCGCCGTTGAAAGGGTCGCAATCACCACTACGTGTTCCGTGGTCAAGCCAGCGTCCCTAGGCTCGGCGGACGCCACGCGCCCTGAGAGATTCCCCGACCAGTAACTGGCGCCCGAAGGAGGCACCGCTGGTACAGCGGCGTTCGACGGCGAGCTGGCAGCCGCCGCTGCGGGCAGGACTGCCGTTCCGCTGCCCACCTCCTCTGCGCACGTGTCACCGTGCCAACCGTTCGGGCACTCGCAGATGAAGCTGTTGACACGATTCTTGCAGCTACCTCCGTTCTTGCAAGGCGAGCTGCGACACTCGTCCACGTCCACGCTGCAGTCCTTGCCCGTGAAGCCCGGCTTGCACGCGCAACGGTAGTCGTTGGTCCCCGAGATGCATCTGCCGCCATTGGCGCATGGTTTCGCCAAGCAGTAGTCCACTTTATCCTGACAGAGCCTGCCCACGTATCCTGGCACGCACTGGCAACGGAACTGGTTCACTAGGTCCACGCAAGTTCCGCCATTCAGACACGGATCGCCTTGGCAGTCGTCGATGTTCGTCTCGCAACGCTCACCGGTGTATCCCGCCGGACAAGAGCAACGGAACCCGTTGACGATGTCCGTGCAGCTGCCTCCGTTGGAGCAAGGATTAGGCGAGCACTCGTCGAGCTGAGACTCGCAGTCGTTGCCCGTGTAACCTGGCGGGCAGCGGCACACATAGCCGCGCAACGAGTCGTCCTCGCAGCTGGCCCCGTGATGGCAGGGCGAATCTCGACAGGATCTCGTGCTGATCTCGCAGTGATGACCCCGCCAGCCTGGCGGACAGGTGCAACGGTAACCGGCGCGATGATGTTGCCTGGAGGTGGCAGCGTCCGTCGACGGTTTCGGGACACTGGCGGCGCTGCTCGGCTGGCTAGAGTTCCCGTAGGACGGCTCCATCGAGCAGGAGCCACCGTTCAGGCACGGTTTCGAGTGACAGTCCAAAAGCGGCGTTTGGCAGTCAGTGTCGGTGAAGCCTGGCGCGCACGAGCAGGTGTACGAACCCTGGCCGGTGTTGAAGCAGGTGCCGCCGTTCCTGCAGGGCTTGTGATTCGTGCAGAAGTTCAGGTCCTGGTTGCAGAACAGACCGCCCCAGCCCTCGTCGCACAGGCACTCCCAGGGCTTCTGGCAGCTACCGTGAAGGCAGCCTGGGTATCTCACGCACTGGTCGCAGTACGCTCCCTTCCAACCGTTGTGGCATCTGGAACATCGAGAAGAAGCGGCTCGTTACGGATCGCTCTTTTAAGGAGAAAGTGCTCGCGGAGATATATCGTCTTTCTTCTTGCATCGACAGGAGAAACTATCCGAAATTACGACACTCTGTCTCTCTTTCTATCACGTTTCTTTTCTCTCGATAAAGTAGAATACAATAATTAGTAAATTAATACAATAACCCAACGGATTAGCAAAAATAACATACATAGAATAGAGAACGTGCATTACTACGTTGTTTCTTGATATCTCTTATCAAGAAAATCGCATTTAGAATCTCTGCAAGTGAGACTAAACTTGCGTTTCTTGAGATCTGGCTCGACCAGGCTGTACCGTATCGTAAACACAACCTAACCCATCCAGGAGCAACAGAATCTTCCTCCAAAATGAAATTAATGAATTATAACGATAGGACTTTGGATATTTTTTATTATTTTTTATTTTATTTCTCGAAAGCTAGCTGACTCCCTAGCTGAATTACTTTTGAAAGCTTCCAAGATAAGCTTCCAGACCTGACGTTATCACCGCCCAAAACCTGCAGAATCACGCTTTCTTTCCTTGGTAACCGCGATCAAAATCCCTGGAAGTCGATCGACGACGAATGTCAAGGACCTCGTTAAACGCGCGTGAAAAATGACGAAGCGCGATAGAGGGTGCGCAATAAAGGTAGATGGAACGAGGAGGAATTCCCGTTTCCAGGTAACCGAGCTTCTATACCGGGTGACTCCTCCGCAACGAGGAACTCGCCACTGGCTCAGCTCTAATCGCTTAGGTCGTTAAACGCTAATCGATCCTTGCCAGAAAGCAATCCGTCAGTGGGAATGAGGCGAACGTAAATGGACACCGGGGTGCTCCGTGTAGGATACTTTCTGACCCTGAATTGTTCTCCACTGGTAGGGGAAGGTATACGTTAGGCTGACCTAGTAGGTAGATGAAGATTTCCGGAGGACTAAGTATTCTTGTTGTTTAGGAACATGAACGATACTCTGCAAAAGTCTTAGATCTTAGTCTTAAATTAAGAGTCTTGTAATAAAATTAATATGATGAATATTTGTTGTTGTGATTTATATATACTAGAAAAAGAAATCCCAGAAATGCAAATAAACAAAATATTTCTGTCAATATAAAAAACGAATACCATCCCCTTAATGCGGATAGGACTTTAAGATTTCGTATTTGAATGACTAATACGTCCTCTGTTGGTATAAGTGTGCCTCGGTCTACCCTGACAGACGCTATATCTACCTGTACAACAGGATTGAGTACGATCATATGCAGCCGACTTGAATTCGTAGGATATGCTCTATCGGTGTACCAATAGCCTAACAAAAAACAACTGTCCTATGATCTCTATTCCCACGGATTGTAATACAGGTTGTACTACGTGCAACACTAAAACTCGACCCTGCCGGAAACCCCCGCTTCCGATTTTTCTCCCCGAAAAGCATCTTCGGTCCGTCGCAGCTGAACCTCGTCGATCCACGTAACATAAGAAACCTTCCGATCCCAAACTATCGCGCCTTCTCCATTCCCTTCCTGCACCGAAAGGGTACCCGTGACCCATCGAAATCTGACGAACACACAGCGGTTCCAATCGGCCGAATCTCCCGAACCGCGGAGACGTCCTACTACGGGAATCGCCGAAAAGCCTTCCGACGATCGCGTATCCCCCGAAAGAATTTCCAAGAAGGACTTCGCGAAAGGTTGAAAGGAAGCGGGAACCGTGGCTGGCGCAGCAAAGAGAGGCAAAGAACCAGCGGCGTAACGGGGAGAAAAAGAAAGGCCCCACCGCGACAGGGGATACGCAAAGGTGGATAAAGCCCCGGCGCGCTGGAGATGAAGAAGGTAGAAAGGAGCTGTATATCCCCATCGCCAGGGGAGAGGGACACGAGAGGAGGATATGGTGGTCGGCCATTATGTCCAAGGGGGTTTACGCGCCGTGCAGGAAGGACAAAGAGGTCGAGAGAAAAGATGGAACAGGAGCGGGGAACGGAGGAGGACACGGCGAGCGAGGGAAGAGGCGCGCGTGTATACATATGTAGGTATTACGGAGCGCGCGCAGCGCCACACGGAGAGAAAGGTCTGACGGTGGGGTGGGGTGGGGTGGGGGTGGGGTGGGGGTGGGGGGAGAGAGAGAGGAAGAGGAGTGGGGGACGGCAGAAATAGAATGAGCGAGAGTCGGCGAAGAGACCGGTCGTCGAAGGGAACCGGCGAGGAAGGAGGAGAAGAAAGAGAGGAACAGTCAAAGAAGAGAAGAGAGGAAGAGCCTTAGCCGTAAGATTGTGAGAGAGGAGGGGGGAGGGTGGAGAGGAGGTAGAATTCGAAGGGGAGTGGGGAGACGAGTCGTCGAGTAGTGTTCCCACGGTTCGAGCCTCGGCACAGCCGTTCAGTATGCGGGTCAAGGAAAGGTTACGCTTCTCTGTGTGTGCGCGCGCGCGCGCGCGCCTTGCTCTGGCCACCAACACCAGCGCGTTCGTCGCGTACGTATCGGCTGTGCATCGGGAGGGAAAGAGAGCCCGGGCCGCAGCCGTCGACGTCGCATGACTATACCATTAAATCCCGTGTACACACCGAGAGCGTAATCGAGAGAGCCCCGTCGCGTTAGACGGAGACGGCTAAGGACCACGTCGGACGGAGACGGAACGAGAACGGGCCGAACTGTGCCGCGCGCGCGCGCGCGCGCGCGGATACTCGTGGCCGTTTCTGTGTACGCGCCTAGCCAATGAGACACGGTCGTGGCATCCGTGTGATTCTTCGAGCTGTCTTCTCGTGCCGCGATTCTTCCTAGGATGCGAAACGGATTTCTGATGGCCGGGCCTTTTTCACCGGTACCTGGTCCGTACCCCGGGATTCGCGGGCTGTTTCGTAATTAGAGCGGATTCGACGCGATTGCGGAAATGGAAAAAAGGATGCGCACGAAGGGGAAGGAGCCTGGGGTGGATTCGTAGAGGGATCGATGATTGGGATCGATCGCTTCGAGGGTTTTTCGAGTCGGTGGATTAGCAGGTGTTCGAGAGGGAGCTTGGAAGCGTTTAGGTGATGCGAGGATGGTATTCTTGGATGGGTTTTTGTCGGTATTCAGAAATGTTCGGAGATTGATATCTTCAGGTATATTGGAATTTGGAAACATCGATATCGACAAGTTGCGGTGTACAAATGTATCGGTATCGAGAAGTATTAGCATTTAAATGTAAAGGTATTCAGGAGTAACGATATTCGCGAAATGTCGATATTTAAAAATACCCGTATTTAGAAGTACCAGTGTTCACGTAGTGTCAATATTTAGAAATATCGATAACTTGGAAATACCACTTTGAAAATGTACCGATATTCAAAGATATATGCATCACCGTCAATAAATACCTCGATACGTAAATACACCGATAATTATAAGTATCCATCTAAAAATAGAAACAAGTAAAGATTGAATATTCGAAAATACCTGGTATTCGGAAGCGGGGAGAAACGAGCTAACGCGAATATCGCGGAAGTAGAAGTCAAAGTAGAGAAATAAGCGGGAGTCGAGGGGGAGAGAAAAGGGTGACGGATCATAAAATGATGCACGATGTGCATCAATCTCATCGGTATTCAGATATCACGCGCACGACCGAACGCGGACTCCGAAATTTCAATGGGACACCGAACGCCGCGATTCTTTCACGTATCACGAACGGGGCCAACATCCCATGAGGCTCTCACGGCAATTGCTTTTAGCGATCATATCGACTATTTCCACGCATAGTGGCACGCAGCCAGAAAACTTAATCGACCACGATTAATTCGTGACGCATTTTTACCGACCTACGTTCATATTCCATCCGACTCCAACGGCTCGATTAAAAAAATATTTACAAGCGCGGAAATAATTTCTTTGTTTCTGATGCTTTCTAATGAAAAGTCAAATCAAGATTAGAATAAAGAAAAAATAAACAAGTATGTATGAAACATATGTATGAAACATATGTATGAAACATATAATTTCGGTAATTATGGAAATAAATAGAAAAATGGATAAACGTAGAAATTAAGAATAAAATAAATGAATGAATGAATAAATTTCCGTACCGAAGAAACTCGATATAAATCGTTTAGATGCCATGCGGTTGCCGCGTTCTGTGCATAAGATTATTTGTTAAAAAAACAAGTAAACGACGGTAAACCGCACGTAGAGAGAATTACAAACGCTCGCGGGCCAACGTATAAACACCGTGGTAACCCAATTGTAGGACGATACTACGATGCCGACATATTATACCTGCCACGGCGCCGCGGATGCGGTGCGCGCTTATTCGATGCGGCTAACGTAGTTCTGCGGACATTCTCCGGCGATCCGCGAGCCTGTTTCGCTAGAAGTAACCGCGATTTACTATACCGCCGCGTGTGTCGATCGTCGTGCCCTACCAGGAAATCGGCGCGGTTGCCAGGCTCGAAAATCAACGAATTTAGGCTAGCGCCGTTCCGTTAATCTACGTGCACTCGAATGGTACAAGTACATTGCGAACGAGTGTAGTCGAATATTCAGATAGTCGAATAACGGAATAATTGAGCAGTGGAATGTAACCATTCGAACGATCGGGTAGATGAATATTATACGAACATTTGAGTAGTCAAACTTTTACGTCAAAATATTCATGTAGTTAACACGTTCACTGGCAGATACTCTTGAAAATTTCTACTGCGATTTAATTTTGTTTACAGACTTTTAGAAACCGCGTAATGAAACATTTATTTTGGTATTCAGTTCTGTAACTTCGTCGAAATTCAAGTATTTCATTCAAATTCATTTTCTATGACACTCAACTTTCAGAATTAATGGTTTTCGTTTCTCAGTGAAAAGCACTGTCGCCCATATATGGGTGACGTGGCGATCGACGTGTTAAATATCATTCATGTTATTCAACGTTTGAGTAACAAGAACACTCGAGTAGTAAAGTATCACTACTCTATTAAGTAGTCGTATATATTGCCCAAACGGTTGTGTAGTCAAATAAAAATAATTCAAACGATCAATCGCTACTAATCGTATTCGAATACTCAAATACAGGAAAACTCGACAAGCAATTTTCCCAAATTTTCTCGCGTTTCTACAGAACTGAACGTTACGGCAGTACATAACCGAAAGAAGCGGGTTCATCGAAAGATTCGACTACCTCGAAACACGACAAGTAATTTACGAATCCGTCGCGAGCGGTTCCCGAAGTGTCTCAAGGCACGCATAAATTCCACGTCGTCTGGGACGTTTTGAGACGGTGTATCGCGTATATATATATTTTCGAAAATATTACTATTCCCGAACGGTTCTCTCGGCGATGAATAACAGAGATAATAGACGGAGACCCCGGGAACGTAGGAACTGTGTTGGGCCGACGGCTGCCGCCTGCTAACGGGACAATTAACCCCGGTCGTGGAGTAATTAGATGATCGAGTTGACTCTAAACCTCGGGGTAACGTTGCACTGAGATTCGAGCGAAGACGAATCACCCGTTCTGGCAATTATCGCGGAATTCGTGAGCGTTTCAATCTCGTCCTTAATTCTCATTACTCGGTAGCTTGATCGTGCAGGACTTTGGTAGTAAACAATTGCTCGTGAACATCATCGAAAGCCCATTTTACTATTCCAACAAAATACCAGTTCCAATTGCGTATATTAATTCGTTACAGTAAATTCTAGCAAAAATAACGAAAAATTGCCCGAACCAGAAGAAATGTAAATTAATATTTTCTTTTTACGAACAACATTTAAGAATTACATTCAAAAAGGTATAGAAAAATCTAAATAAACATAATATGCCCACGAAGTAATCGTTCGCGAGATATTCGATCTTTGATCCTGTGAATCGATCCTGTGAGTCACGCGCTCCCGCGCGAACGCAGTTTCGCTCATCGATTAAGAAGCCGAATATCTTAAAAACTATTCGTTTCCGGCTGTATATTAAGCAAGACTTTTCTCTTCCTTTTGTCACGTTCTATCGACATCGACGGTTAGAATCTATAGTTTATCGCTATCCCGAAGCCGATTTCAGGGACTGCAGGTTCTCGTCTGCGGGGCGAAAGAATGCGCTCCACCGCGAAAAAATTCGCGTTGAGAGTGGCGGAGAATAGGATCTTTGAACCACGGCCCGTATTTATAGCCACTCAGGATTCCCGGCAAATACAGAGATTCCCGAATCGATCTCTCTGGCCCCTGGTTCGCCAGCCTCTTTCTTTTTTCCACGCGGAATCGAATTAGAAAGGGTTCAACGACACTCTTCCCGCCGAAAGAAAAGTTCTCAACCGGGAGAAAGGGCAAGATCGAATGCTTCTGTGCGCATTTTATTCTGAGCCTGAAATCGTTATTTAAATATTTGAGTATTTCATTGTTTTCTGTAACATTTGATTTCGTATCCAGATATTTGAATTACGCGCGAGTATTCTAATCGCCGATGTACTGTTCGATAGTATTCGATTACAGAAAAATTCGACGACCTAACCGTGGTTCGCGAACCGCGCGAACGAGTCAACAGGGCCGCAAATTCCTCTGGTGGGTGAAACGGAAACGAGAGAGACAAATTGCGCGGAGAGGATACCCGCAGCCGTTTCTGGTAATGATATTCCGATATCGTACCACGAGCAATCGTGATCCCGTGGCGTTTTCATGGCGAATACCAAACTTCCAATTAACGTAAGCGGAGAATCCGAGCTATTCGCTAGAAATCGAAACGTGCCGCGATCCCATACGCAAATGAAAACGAAATTTTTAACGGAGAAATTGAATGCCCTTGCGATTGGCTTCCGAGGGTTCGGCGTACGGATTAATCGAACGAGCACCGTGGACTTTGGAATATTCTTGGGGACGTTACTTCTATCTTTACCCGAAGCAACGTTACGTCAGAACCGAGCTTTCGTAAACTTAGAATTTAATATAATTATTATTATAATTCGCAACACGGGTGGTTTCTTGAGACAGTTCGAGGCCGAAGTAACAACAGTTTTCACTCGAAAGCGGTCGTTACAAACTCGCAGGTATGCAGGCGCCGGTGCATCAATTTTTATAATCAGTAATCGAATACTCATTAGAAACTTGGATGAATATCGAAAATAAATAATGTAAATTAATGGTTAATACCGAATGTGAACATTGCATAAAAATCACAGACAAATATTTTCACGTTTACTCGATTAATTTCAAAGATCTAAGAGTACTTACAGACAGAAAGTATTCGTACAACCAATGTGAAATAAAATTAATAAGACGAAAAAGAAGAGGTTAACGTTACGAATGAACGTTAAAATAGGAATGTTGGTCGATTACTTCATCCCTAAAAAATTTATTAATAAAATGAATATATATGAAGTTTTATATTGAATTGGTTCCTGTACGAATACTTATTAAACTGACTGCAGCGATTTCTATCCTTCACCTTTAATCAGAGATATCAAACTCGGATAATAACAAGATTTGTTGCTTCATGTCTTCGCCATCGTTCGCTCTCGTTTCTCGATTACCTTCCAGCGATTTCATTTAAAACAGTTCCGAATTCCGCTTCGCGCATCGCTAACAGAGCCCAAATTTTCGAACGTTAAGCGAGGCATCGACGTTAGATCCGTCGATCGACGCGTTATTAACCGGGCGCGATACGCCGCGTAGGGGCAATATCGAGCCAGGAATGTAATATCAGCGAAGAAGAGTAGCCGGTACACGTAGAGAAGAGAGACAGAGGTTGTAGGAGTGCGTTCTTCAGAGGTTGTAGGAGTGTGTATGGACGTGTGTCTATGGTATTATGTGTGTACTCACATGCATTCGTCGGGTCGATTGCAGTGTCCGTGCTGCTCGTCGCATCCGGGCAGGCAGCGGGCTGAAACAGGCAAGAAAAAATCGAAAAGGTTAAGGCAACTCTCCGCAAGAGGTCGATCGCGTCCCTCACGACTGCACGAGCGGTACATACGATGCATCCGATGCATTCCAGGTATAGTAGTCGGGTACTGGAACTCGATAATTCACCTAGCCGGGGCTGGCTATGTCGCTGTTAATCGAGTCATAAAATTGCCGTCGACCCACCGGAAAATCGGTTCAACGGCTGAACTAACCCACTCACGAGGGATATGTGCCGCGTTACACTGTCCTGGCTAACTGGTAGGCCGTGTCGTAATCGACCGGGGATGCCTTCTACACCTGGATATATCGTTCTACCTGTCGGATCCATTCCGACCGGTGAACTCTATCGGTGCTGGGTCTCATGTTGCTAAGGGTGAGTGGACCGTACTGGACAGAACAGACTCTGGCACCGTCGTTAACCGGTACAGGAGACACCCCAAAGGATTGGCTGTCTGTAAGTTGCGATACTTTTAGGACCTGCTTGGTTTGATTCAAGGTTCGGCGTTTGCGTAAAGGAACGCACACGAAACACAACTAATTCCTCTATAAATAAAAGTCGGGAGTACCCGAGGAACCTCATTCTTCTTCGATCTGACCTGTGTCAACAGGCCTATTGCTTCTATTTATCGACTCCTGTTGCCTCCGAGTAACTCTCTGAGAAGCGAGTACGCATCCAACACTGTTTGAATCTCAGCTCTTACTATTATTTCTCCTCGATATGAGGAAACCTGAACAACCTCGTCGTCAGAGCATCTGGTCAGAAATGATTACGGCCAAGTACCAGCTTGAACTGTCACCAACATTTCCCCAGGTGTGCATTACTCTAATCCAACAGATCCTATCGTTGGACCGGTCAGGCGACCGTCCAGATGCGCGCGCGACTGCCCTAAACCTAAGTCGCTACAACGTCCTCCGCAAGTCTAGCCAGGTGTCCATTAATCTCTCCAACAGATCCTATCGTTAGACTCTCTATCCTCGCGTGAGTGTATCCAAATAAACCAAGTCCAAACAGTCGCGAGACACTCCCGCTACATAAAAGGGTACGTTCACCTACCGACACCCCGTCAACTGCGCTTTCCAATTAAGCGATCCAGCAAAAGTTTCACCTCGACGAATACATGTCCGTCCTGGAGGCCTGGAAGCGACGAATTCCCAAAGGCCAACGGCGAAGATCGTTCGCGTCTCGAATTTCCGATGGGTCGGGGCTGATTAAAATTTATGTCATATGTACCTGAAACATCGTTCCCGTTTTCCAGGAATCCTGGATGGGAACGAAGTCTGACCGAGCGATGGCTGGCATAGCTGCACGTAGCGAGCCGACCGATACGTCGTCCCGCAAGGCTGATAAAATTGTGTCACGCGTGAAGATCCGTATCTTATCGACACCGAGCGCGCCTCTAACGCCCTGCTAATTGGCCAATTGCACTTCCTTCTTTTCCGAGTGGAAAGGATTTATGCTCGGCGTGCCCTAAAGATGGAGGACACCGGGTTCCCCCTATTATTGGAATGCATGGAGGGGGAGGAGGACCGAAGGAGGACCGGAGGAGGACCGGAGGAGGACCGGAGGGAAGGGCTGGACGCGATGGAGCGATGATTGCTGGCTGGCGTGACTCTGCACGCGGCTGGCAAGGGTAACGAAATTGTGTCACGTGTCGGCCGGCTTGTCCAGGCCACAAATATCCAAAACTCTTAACGTTGGCTCTCAGCCACCGGTGATTAAGTTACGTGTGCTACGCGGGACGCGTCACGCAATTGGGACGAGTTCTTGGGTCGTCGAAGATGGAGGAACGTGGATGGGGACATGGGTAACGAGAGTGCGAAGCTCTCGACGGTGGTGCATCGAACTTCTACAGAAGAAGTAACATGTCACGGAAATACATCGACGAATATTAAATATCTCGCATTAAAATCTCGCGATCCATAGTTTAAGAAACACCGGTCTAGTGGGTCCTATCGTTAGAAGAGAATTAAGTATCCTAAAGTATCGGAACCTAAACTCTCAGAATGCGGCCCGTGAGTATAGTAAGGAATATATCGTTGCGAGAGCACCCTTTGGATGGAGCCAAGGGCTGCCGGTGCTCGCGACCGGAACATGAAGACAGCGAGAAGAAGGCGATCGGATCGATCGCCTGTCAAGCTGTCGGATTCGAGCAAGACGTCGTTGAGAGCAGACGTTCCGAAGCTATATTTAATTGCATTCCTATTGTACACATTTCTATTCCAAAGCTGTTTGTTATTTATTAAAGTTCGTGTTCACTCGTTATCCCGAAACGCAACAATATTATCCAACGAAACTGACGATCCACCTGTTGCAATCCGAGCTACCGCGAACCATCGAAGACAACATGTATCGTACTGCACGAAGACGTACGCGATCCTCCTAACCCGGCAGGTCCCGATCCATAATCGGAACATTCGCACAGCGAATCCCGAAACGAAGCGATTCCTCGAAAACCAAGTAGAGGACTCATTTCAGCCTGAAATATTCAGACACCGAGGTCCAACGATGACATCCGCGCCTCCTGAATGAAGGGGGTTGAAGGTTCAGCCGGCTGGAAAGGTGAACCCTGGTCTCGGCGGGGGTCGAGGGGAGGGCTTGGTGACCTTGGCACCGAGCGCAACGGCCCACGGAGCGGCCCTCGTCGCGAGACCAGCGCTAAAGAGCCACGAGTATTTATAGAGCGGTGAAAACGAGAGGGACGGGATCCTCTATCGTCGTTGATCCAGCCGAACGACCAGCGAACGCCCGAATCGCAGAGATTCCACGGACCCCCGCCCATACGAAAAAAGAAGAAATCGCGTCGCCGCGGGGGGGAGCCGTCGTCGTTCCTGAATTAAACTCGGGATTACGGCAGCGTCTGATGGCTCGTTTAAACTTGGCCCGATGATGTCCGTCGCTGTGGTAATCCGTGACCACTCGCGGGGGGATACCCTTTGACATTGTTTGGGGGCTAGAGGATAGATCCGGAGGATAGATCCAGAGGATAGATCCGGAGGATAGATCCGGATGATAGATCCGGTGGACCTCTGTTTGGTGATTGCGTGTCTGGAATCTTGGCGAGTGATGTATTGGGCTGTCCGGAAAGTCCGTGGCGATTTTTAGTAGGCGGTACAGGTCCGATTATGTCGGAATGGTTGAAAACAAATAACACGTATACATTCCTTAAAAGGTGGAAAAGTTCCGGAACAAAATCCTACATATATAATTCAATAAATATACATCAAAATTCAAATACGTATTTGAATTTTTCCTAAAAATAGGCACGAACTTTCCGGACAACCCAATACGAAGGAGGAGGATGTACGCAGAATTCCAAAGTTACCACATGGGTGGACTCGATAGAGTTAGGTTTGGACTGATAAGAGGATGCCTGGGTAGTGGGTCGATGGTGCTAGACCTCTCCGGAACATGAAGGACCCAAGAGCAAAACTCCTTACAATTGCTCAAGACTCGAGTTTTACGAGGTGTCCGAGTACTTGCCTCGACGAAGTGTAATAATTAGACCGCGGATCTGTGTGCATTCGTTATATAAGAAATTTGAATGCGCAAGAAGCTACAAAATGCAAACAATATGGAAGAATATAAACGAGATTGAAAGTAAAGTTCGTGTTGTGATATTTACAGAATAAAATAAATTCCTATCGGTAGGTTCAATTTTTGTAGGCACGAAGATTTTATTTTGCATAAGGATCCGCGCAGTCTAGTTATGGATAATTATAGAGAACAGGTACAACCAAGGACGGTTTATTTCTTCCCGATACTCTCCATCGAATCGACTATAGTCCACCAATGGCACACAGTCCGCAAATCTGTACGTTCTAACCTTTACCGTGTCTTTGCCTTTCTGTAAACCTCTACTGTTCCCATTGCAACAATGTTCGACCTGCCATCCATCACCTAGCCACCTTCCAACGAATCCCATACGAAGAAGTCTACCTAGAGCTACCCACGTCCCCAGGCTTCCAGAACTCGTCAGCTGACTCGGCTCTCCATACACTTGGCCACAATGCAAGGTAGCGTAACCCCCGGCGTCCCTTTCGAGTCTTGCTTATTTCTGCTGCAACAGTTGACATCCGCCAGCTGATCCCGAGGCATTCATCCGACGTTTCACGTAACCGCAACACGGCGCGACACCTGAGAGGACACCGTCCCTGGATTTTACAACCGTCCGAGCCGTCGCCGTGTCTGCCACGGTCAAACAACGTCGGTTCCCTTTAAACCAGGCGGGGACAAACGCTCCCCCAATGAATTTCACGGCTCGTGGCCAACGTACCTATCGATTTTTCTTTCCGTCTGTCGAGCAACCGACGGGTTCGTACCTGACCTTTCATGGAAGAGAACGAACGCAGCCCGGGGGTAGTCGTAGGAGGACCCTGGGTTCCTACGATCGAGTTCCAGTCGTTTGCGTCGAAGTTTCAGTCCGTAGGTTAACGTTCCGTCTGTTTTTGATGAATGTTGAGCGACACGAAGGCACTGCTACATGTTGCAGCGTTTTAGATTTCCGAAAGCTTCGCTGGAATTTATCCATAACAGGGACATCGCAGCAACGACGTATCGAGATGTATTCCTTTTCTCAGCTTCCTAATCGAGCCACCAGGTTCCAACGATCGAGTTCTAGTCATTAGTTCTAGTCATTGGGTCTAGTCATTGGGTCTAGTAATTAGTTCTAGTCGTCTCTGGCCAAGTTCGGTGAAGCGTGTCGCGTTGTCACTGACCCTGCTCCTCCGTGTCTCCTAACCTACCTCTAAGTCTACCTGCCAGAATTGTCCTCGTGACGCGGGAGACGAAGAAAACTGGCAGTTCGGCAGGTACCCCGGGCTAATAAAGACGAACAAGGAGGTGGAGAAATGAAGCGAGTCGAGTCACGGAGACCAGGGATCAGAGGGAGGGGGGGGGGCGTGGGTGTGCGAGGGGAGAGGTGGGTCTGAAATGGAAGCGGACTGTTGAACGCGAGGCCGGTGCAGCTGTTGGTTAAAGCA